ATTTATTACATAGCAGTTTTAGTCATAGCACTCACATACTCTTTCATGCTTTTCTCCTAAGTCTTTCCACTTTGTTTGCTACAAGTCATTACATTAAATCATTCCCTTTGTAAATAGAAACAATGATAAACCAATTCTTCTAATGTTTGAAAATATTTCAATATCAAAGAAAAAATAAACTCACAAATCTCTCTCTCTCTCTCTCTCTCTCTCTCTCTCTCTCTCTCTCTCACACACACACACACACACACACACACACACACACACACACACACACACACACACCCCTACCTCACCCAAAACTACTTCATGAATTCTAGAAGGTCTTCTAATAAATCTGCCATGTCTAGCTGTCATCCTCCGTGTGAAGGTCACTTCAGAGCTTCCAGCTTTTCCACTAAGCTGCTCTCTCCGCTCCAGCATTCTATGGTGCAGCAGTCTCTGTATCATAAGATGCAGACCAGTTGTCTGGTCAGAAGTAGAAGGGATTGCCACATCGCTGCGGTTCAGCTGAGATGGAACCTTTCTAAGATGCTTGACATTTTAATTAAAACGCTACCATAATTCAAATAAAGACTCAGAAATGCTCCAGAAGATAAGGTCACACATGCTTTTATATATTGGCTGACGTTTATCACCAGCCAAATTGTTAGCAATGTGTACCAAGTCCCTACTTTCAAACCATCATTAAACTAAACATGTGGCATCAGCATAATATTTCTTTTGGACCCAGTATTTTTGATAATGTCCTGCAACAGCTGAATCATCCAGTTTCATTTAAGACAGACCAAGATGGTTAGTACAAATGCCCTGAGAAAGAAGCAATTTAGCAGGTGTCTGCTTTGAAGCCCTTGTATAATAGGATGATATGCAGTTAAAATCTTAGCAAATTCCTTTTTCCCCCAGTTCCCCTCCCTTCACACTTTCTGGCCTGAAATTTCTCTTGCTCTTTGGAAGCACAGATATGCCTAATGTAGGAAAAATGTCAAAGCCAGGTGATCCCACAAATGTTGTTCATTATCCATAACCATTTCATAAGGAGACACAAAAGAGCAAAATATATTGTAGTGCACAGAGAATGGTAACAGCTGAAATACAGCAAGTGTCAAACAAAACTGCCTCAGGGTAAGAAGAGTAATAATCGATGACCTTGCTTGTTCTATGGAGTTTACAATATGTGTGCTCAGTTTGTTCAAGAAGGAGGTGGTAGGGAATAGTGTCTATCATGTAAAGGTTGAGTTTGCATATAAGCAGTACAATACTTGATAAAGCACTCCATATCTGAATCAATATTTGGCTATTAAAATCTGCCATACAGAATCTGTTTTCTATGACATCTTGGGGTATCTCATGAGCTAAGTATTTCAGCACTTTAAATTCAGGACTTTGGACTTCCGGTTTTGTGCCGTAACGTATGGCCACAGGATTGCAGAGCTCCACACCCCATGGCGGGTTTCGCCCTGCCAGGGAACCCTAAATGGGTCAAAAGTCGCCCCGGAGAGGCGACGAAGAAAGAGGGGTGCTCTGACAAACACAGATCGACAGTGGTTGATCCATTCGATATGGGGGAAACCCTCTAACCCGACAGGAGAAGGCTAGTTGCATACCAGTTTCTAACCCAAACTACTTGCAGCCAAAATCCAAGTGCACGAACTAGAACAATGATGAACAGCGTGCTTGGAATTGGTGAGAGTATCGATCTTCTCTCTTCTATTTTGTAACTGATTCCTTGGGAAAGATCCCCAAAGTAAGAAATCCTCCGAAAGTGAAGGGAGGGGACTAACCCCCATTCCTCCATAGACGGAAGCAGTGAATTAACTTTTAAGGGGGAAATAAATATATTGAAATGAAATCTATAATACTACAGTCTGGATAAATCTAGAAACTAAGAAAATTGTTAAGATTTTACACCCTAAAGGGTTCTGATGAAATATATAAAAAATAAGAACTTTTTGTTTGAAAAAGCTGGAGAACAAAAAATTACTGACATCTAGTGGAGAATTAGAGTATAGAACATGAACAAGATTGATTCAGAAATTGGTAAGATGCTCAGAAACAAAGAATATTCTGTTCCCTTGAATTTTAATAACTCTCAAGAAGACAGCTGGGAACAAAGAAAGAAAACATACTGAGCCAGCCATAAGATTAAAAAGTGTTTGCAGAAAAAGAAATACTCTGACTGCTGTTTAAGCCCAAGAATTGTTTACAGAAAAAAACCCTTTGACTCTTGGCTAATCTCTTAGGGGGAATTTAATATCTATTCCTGAAAGATCTAGCCTGGGGGATGGTGAAGCGGGCAGGTGTCCTGCCGTCAGCATCCATTCTGGCTGCCCCTTCCCCGTGGAGCTGGAGAGCTTACTACACCACTGCCCAGATGCCCTCGCTTTCCACAGGAATTGCATTTCTTTCCTTACCTGATTTCCAGCCTCATGCCATTTCTCTTCCGGTGCCGTGTGTAGGGAAACAAAAGAAGTTTGCGGGGGGGGGGGGGAAGGTCAATCAATCAATCAATTCCAACTTCGCGAGATCTTTTTTTTACTCCAGTGTCTTGTGGGACTTCTACTGATACTGATATTGATAAGGTAAGAAAAGAGATGAATTACATACAGTAGAAGCATTCAAACATTGTAAAGACTCTCTCTCTCTCTCTCTCTCTCTCTCTCTCTCTCTCTATCTATCTATCTATCTATCTATCTATCTATCTCTACCTATACTAATACCTATACCTATATCAGTCTCTATCTCTATCTCTATATATATCTGCCTAGAGTACATGAGGATTATATACAAACACACACAGAGTCTTTACACACAAAATGATATATACATACACACATACATGCTATTAATTCTTTCTCACGTGTTAAAAACATAGATTATTAAAGCAATCTGATTGGCTAGAATTTGAATAACTTAATTATAAGAAAGAGTTCATGTTTTGTTTAGAATTACATTAGCAGATATAGATAATGAATAATCCCTACTGTGATTTTGGAAAATTAATTAATCTTCAGATGTTTTTTACAATGTTCTGAGATAACTTATAAATTATTCATTTTAGTTTTTTGTTGTTTTATGTTAACAACTAATGCATTCAATTTACCATAGGAATGAAAATGTATTCAATATAGTTGTCTCTTCCACTTCACTCAAGAATGAGGTTATTTTGAGTAAGACTAAAAATATTACTTCTAAAACCATTGTGGAAGCTAGTGCTAGAATCTCCTGATATTCTGAATTTAATTCTGAGCATTCCTTAGCATTGATCACGTTGATTGGGGGATTATTCTCCAGGACTCTGAAATAGTGATAGAAAACTGATAATTGCTAAAAAGACCTTAAAATTAGTTATAAGTATATTATTTTATATAGTAATCAATTGAGCTAGAAAATTTAGATCTTAGCAAAGAGCTTTTTGTTCATATGACCAGGTCTATTGTTTCTGCTTCAAGATCATAGCATTTCAAAAATTCCAGTATATCTCTCATCAGCATAATCTGGAACAGAAAATATTCAGATTGGCAAAAACATCTATCTATCTATTAATCACCTTGCAATGTGTGATGGGTGTTTTAGTTTTGAATAAGAAAAGTATTGGAGATAATCCAATAGTATGGATTGTTTTCATTCAAGTCATGATTTTTGGAATCAGTACAGCATAGACCATTAGTAGGCACTTATTATTACAACTCTCTTTAGAATTTACTTGAAAAAGCTAATAAAATGATACCATTATATGCTTTTCTGGGATAGTTGGCCACTGTGAGGAAAAATATCTAGGCAGATGTTTGAGCAAAATACAGAGTTTGTTTGTGTATTGGATACATTATCTGGGATTATATCTTTCTGACTTGAAACCAAATCCTTAGAGATGTTATAAAAATCTATAGTATAAAATTGATAGATTGTCCATATTTTCTCAAAGAGTCTTTTTCTGCTGCTATCTAAACCTCACTTTTCATGTTTATAGCATGAAATTTCCTGTTTGAAAAACAAAATCCAATTATATCAAAGCTGAAATTAGATTATAAAGATAATTTGCACACATTGCAGCAATTAAAATGATCACACATGTAGAGCTCTTATATGTCATGAAGAATTAATTTTATTGTATAAGAAAAACAGAATGGATTGGATCTAGCAGTGTAAACTGTGAACAGGAGACTTCTGATCTGATAGAATTTTTCTACTAGTCGAAAGCAAGATAAGATTGCTTTCCTCAGATCTGCTCTTAATGGTAGGGAGAATAATCTAGAATAATAGGGCAATTGAAAAATCCTGTAGAAGTTCTTTTTGTCAAAATGCACATCATACATATCCTACATATTTTGTTGGGTGCAGCAACCAACAGGACAGATACAGACTTCAAGAGATAGTTAGGACTGCAAAAAAAACAACAACTGCAACCAGCCTGCCTTTCATCAAGGACCTGTACACCACACAGGTCAGAAAGAGGGCTGAGAAAATATCTACAGAACCTCATGTCCTAGACATAAACTGTTTGAATTCCTCTCTTCAGGATGCCGCTATATGGCATTGCATGCCAAAACAACTAGACACAGAGACAGTTTTTTTTCCTTGTGCCATCACTCTGCTGAACACCTAATTTCCCACAATACTTTCTTATGTCTAAGGATATTTACCCATGTAGTACGGCTGTATTACTATTATCCTTATCATCTTTTCTACTACTTTCTCCTTTTGGTATCTTATTGCTTTGTTGTACAATGAGAGTTTATGCACCGGAGACAAATTCCTTGTATGTCCAATCACACTTGGCCAATAAGTATTCTATTCTGTTCTGTTCCATTCCGTTCCATTTCATTCCATTCCATTCTACAATGTCAATCAAATAAGGATGCATTATATACCCTTTCTACAATGTCATAGAGAGAAAAAATGGTTTATTAAAAGTTTATCAAACAATTGTCTTAACCATAGTAGTTGGCAGCCACCATGCTTCTGCCTATAACTTTTTCAAAGTGTTTTTTATTTGATAGGCATATGATATACTTGAAAATGTAGAGGCTTCCCTAAAACTTTTTGAATCTAAAGTTTTCAACTTGCCCATTTTGGCAATAAAACATGAGGAACTACAAAAAGAAATTAAAAGTGGATCAGATGATGTTCTTCAGAAGGGACAAGCCTTACTTAGCAAACAAAATGTTCACAGGTAAGTATAATGTGTAACTGGAAAGCTCTACCTACATTATAAAATACCTCATAGATGTGAGAATCCCTATTGGGAAGTTATGTTACCTTCAATGGTTAAATAATGTTGAAATGAAATCTTAAAATATAGAAATTTAAATCTGGGCTTCTATATAATTGCTGCCATCCAAATCCATTTATGATAGGTTCAAATCCAAGGTGATCCCACAGAATTTTGTTGGGCATCTCAAAGCCCATCCAACTGATTTTTCCCCTAGATTTTCTCAAGCTAGGGCAAGTAATGGTGAAGACTCCTAGCTTTGTTATGATTAGTAGACGTAGCACCTTCATTTCTGTGTCATAGACATTGTTAGGATAAGCAGTTTTGGAGCCAGCATAAATGACTGAAAATTGTTATATAACATAGATGCTGCTCTATATGAGAATAAATAAATAAAATAAGCAAAAACA